GTGGTTAGCATGTGATTAGCGTGGTAAGGCAGGCTGCTTCTGCAGCGGGAACTAACAGCCGGTGGTTAGCATGTGATTAGCGTGGTAAGGCAGGCTGCTTCTGCAGCGGGAACTAACGGCCGGTGGTTAGCATGTGATTAGCGTGGTAAGGCAGGCTGCTTCTGCAGCGGGAACTAATGGCCGGTGGTTAGCATGTGATTAGCGTGGTAAGGTAGGCTGCTCCTGCAGTGGGAACTAACAGCCGGTGGTTAGCATGTGATTAGCGTGGTGAGGCAGGCTGCTCCTGCAGCGGGAACTAATGGCCGGTGGTTAGCATGTGATTAGCGTGGTAAGGTAGGCTGCTCCTGCAGCGGGAACTAATGGCCGGTGGTTAGCATGTGATTAGCATGATAAGGTAGGCTGCTTCTGCAGCGGGAACTAATGGCCGGTAGTTAGCATGTGATTAGCGTGGTGAGGCAGGCTGCTTCTGCAGCGGGAACTAATGGCCGGTGGTTAGCATGTGATTAGCGTGGTAAGGTAGGCTGCTCCTGCAGTGGGAACTAACAGCCGGTGGTTAGCATGTGATTAGCGTGGTGAGGCAGGCTGCTTCTGCAGCGGGAACTAACGGCCAGTGGTTAGCATGTGATTAGCGTGGTAAGGCAGGCTGCTCCTGCAGCGGGAACTAATGGCCGGTGGTTAGCATGTGATTAGCATGGTAAGGCAGGCTGCTCCTGCAGCGGGAACTAATGGCCGGTGGTTAGCATGTGATTAGCATGATAAGGCAGGCTGCTTCTGCAGCGGGAACTAATGGCCGGTGGTTAGCATGTGATTAGCGTGGTAAGGCAGGCTGCTCCTACAGCGGGAACTAATGGCCGGTGGTTAGCATGTGATTAGCGTGGTAAGGCAGGCTGCTCCTGCAATGGGAACTAATGGCCGGTGGTTAGCATGTGATTAGCATGATAAGGCAGGCTGCTCCTGCAGCGGGAACTAACAGCCGGTGGTTAGCATGTGATTAGCATGTGCCATAACCTTCAAAAACAAGAGCTATCATGGCTACCAGAGCTTTCCAATAGGCAGCAAACCTAGGCCCTAGAGAGAAAGAGAGCTCCAGGTGCCAGGAGGATGCTGGGGTGGGGTGGGGAGGAAGTGAGTCTGGGAATGGAATGGAAAGGAAGGGGCCCCTCTCTGCTCTGCCCAGTGTCACTCCTGTCTCCATGCCCAGCAGGTCTACCTTGTCCAAGTGCTGCAACGCCCCTGGCTTTCTCTTCACCACCCAGAAGAACACTCCAGTTGAGACGAATCTCAGGTATGAGGTGGTGTCCAGTGGCTTCTTCCACATCAATCAGGAAATCTTCCAAATGTTTCCCAAGGTATGTCCCCGACATGGTGGTCTGGGAGGGAACTGGTGGTCAATGCCAGCTAACTATGGCTTGTATGATTTGGGGCAAAAATAGGTTAAAGTTCTGCCTCTGTCCTTGCGTGCTGATGACATTCCGCAGCTGTCTAGAAGAGGGATTGATTATACCTTGATCACTCAGTCAAGGCAGGCACAAGAGAAAAACCATTCAAAGCATATGAACACCAGAAAGCAGGCCCAGGACAGAGCAAGGCTGAATGTCAGCCACATCAGATAACCTTGGGGTCACTGTGTAAGAATGCCTCTTCTTAACATGTAATAGTTACACATAATGATTGATTTTATTATGCCGTTTTCATGCATGGCTGTAATGTATTTTGATCATATTCCTGCCACTTCTACCACCACTTTCTCTTATTCCCTTCCCATGCCCCTTCTCTTTCCCAGTGAGCCCCCTTTCATCCTTTTTTCTCTGTAACTCAATGGGTTTTATTGGGGTTGCTGAAGAAAATGTCTCTCCCTCCCTAGCAACCACTAACTACTAATAATACATCTAGGATATCAGAGATGTTGTCTGGAGGTGGGCTGGTCAGTGATAGTATAGTTGCTCTCTGCTCATGGCGGGGGGTCCTCATGTATGACCTGTTCAGATCGCCAAGGCTGATAGCTAGCTCCAAGTTCTGGACTCTTGTAGAAAGGGATGCAGAAATTATACTTTTGACTGGTTCAGATGGTTCGGTGATGCTGAGGTGCTGTGGCTTCAGCAGAGAGGCGGGTGGCAAGGGTGTGTTCATGCTTATGTTCTGGAAGGAGAGCTCAGGGATGCCCTGCATGTTTTAGTGGGTCAGGGGAGGTGCTAACAAGATGAAAGCAGAGTCTCTCTGGATGTCCTGTTGCTGTTACCAGAGTGACCTGGCAAGAATTGGACTCAGGCAATGATCTGAAGTCACAGCGCAGTGGTGGCATTGAGTCACCTTCACTAGGTGAGCCTTGCATGGTGTGGCAGGTAAACTTTCGTCTTAAGCAAGTCACAGCAGCATGTGACATAGCCTGGGCTGGCTTGCGGGTCCTTGCAGAGCCAGGGCATGAATTGCTGAGGTCAGGAGATACAACAGGGTCTCCACACCTTTCTCTGGAAAGGACTGAATAGTAAGTGGCCTTGTAGGTGGCATCATCACCATCACTACTTGCCACCATGGTCCCAGCGCTGCAGTGGTCATAACAGTGGTCATGAGAGTAGTCACTGTCATGAGTAAACTAATGAAGGAGGCTTCATCTTAGTTGCACAGATTTCGGAAAGTGAATGTAGCTTTCACACGTCACATATCTTATTTGAGTGGCTTCAGACCATTTAAAAATATAAATGTTATTCTCAGGTTGCTGGCCACACAAAAACAGGTGGTAGACCAGATGTGGCCCATGGCCATGCCTCTCCAGCCCTCCCTTAGCATAGCAGCATCTCTGGGGTTTTAAATGGTCAGCTTTCCAGCCCCTTGCCCACCCAGAGATTCTTTTCTGTGGCTATCGGGTGGAGCCTAGGAAGGACTGTTTCCAGAAAGTTCTTGATTTGCACCTGTTTAGGACACACTCATGGGAAACACAAGAAACCCTCAATGACTTTTCCTCAGACTGCTGTGGCTAGTTCTGTTTCTCTCCCCATTGACTTTGAGACCCCAGTGCTTTCCATGTCCTGGTCCCCTGGACCTGACCCCACGGGGAAAGTGAGTCACAGACTCAAGTGTGTCACAGAGGGCCACGGCAGCTCCTTCTGACTGAGGCTAATTCTTGGTGCAATGTGGTTCCCTCAGCGATTGGTTGGCTGGCAGGTGCTGGGGGCATAGCAGGCCTGCAGACAGAAATGGGAGGGGTCACCCAATGCTGGAGTCTCTTTCACCCCCCCCCCCCCACCATCTGCAGGTGGAGTTCCCCTTTCTCTCACAGTCCAGACAAGGCTGCCTCAGCAGGGAGAGCTCACAGAGGGGATATTTTGGGGGGCAGAGGTGAAGCCTCAAATGAAGTGGGGGGCACTGTCTGTAACACCGTGCATGTGCCTCTCCAGGAAATGCCCTACTACCGATCTCAGTTTAAGAAGTGTGCTGTGGTGGGCAACGGAGGCATCTTGAAGAACAGCGGCTGCGGGAAGGAAATCAACAGTGCCGACTTTGTCTTCCGGTAAGGGAGCTCCTGGAGGTGCATCTGCTGCCTCCGTGGCTCTCCTCTCTGAGTCCTTCTCCCACGTTGTCCCTGTCCCTGTTCTCTGCTGCCACCTGAAGCACAACTTCACTATTCGGGGACCCCAACCTCTCTAGCTCTATACCTTCAAGCAGATTGTTGAACTCTGGGGTTGTAGTTTCTAGTTTTCAAAATGGAGGTGGGGGGATATGGTGAACTAATGGCATTCTGGATGGGAGGCCCTAAAACTAACGTCCTGTCGTCAACCCAGAACCCCCACTCCCTGCATGGGTTGTCCCCTTCTGCAAGCACTGGCGGGAGGAGGGATGCCTGTGACTTCAGCCAGGCTCTAACTGAGCTGGAGAAGGTCTTTGTGTTTCTCTTTTTTTGTGTGACTTGTACCTGTTTCCATGCGGGGGATCCTTCCTTTTCATGTTATCCCAGGCAGGGAAAATGAGTTGACAATGAGAACCTCAAGGGCTCGAGAGATGGCTCAACAGTTGAGAGTACTAGCTGCTCTTGCCACTATTTCTTTTCTGGGATGCCCTCGCCTCCACCCTCCTAAAGAACTTGGTGTCACTCTCAGGGGACATTTGGCACCTGACAACTAGATTGTCTTATGGAGACTGGAACCATAGACACTTTATTGTTCCATTTGCCTTATTTGGGGGTATAGGAATTTCTCCCTGCTACCATGACAAATTTCCAGGAAGTCAGTGGCTTGGAACAGACAGGGTTTACAGTCACACACTCTGGGGTGCAGTTAAGGGGCCAGCAGGACTTTGTCTCTTCCTGAATTCTCTAGGGCAGCTGTAGACGCTGCTTGCATTCCTTGGCTCATGGCTGCCAGCACCGTAGCGTCTTCTACTCTCCACACTCCCACATACACACCTTCCCTTCCTCCCTCTCTTCCTTTTTCTTTTTTAAAAGACAAGTTCTCACTGAGTAGCCCAGGCTGGTTTCAAACTGCTGCCTTTTTGCCCAGCCCCCTGCATGCTGGGATTGCCATCACCTGCCCCATGTCTCCTTTTGTGATGTGGATTCTTGGTTATCAACTTGACTACGTCGGGAATTAACAAAAACCCAAGCAACTGAGCCCCTGTGAGGATTTTTTTTCTAGAACGCCTTCCTTGCTGTCACATTTTCTTTGCAAAGGCTCTTGAGATTTCCCTGGACCATCTGGATAGTCCAGAATGCCCTTCCCATCTCAGGATCCTTAGCGTATTCTCAGCTGTAGTGTCCCTTCTGCCAATTAAGGCTCATGTTACCCAGTTTTAGAGGTCAGGGTTTTGCTGCCTTGGCGACCCCACATTCCTACCTCAGGGGCTTTCTGCAGGCCACACTGCACGCTCTTCTGCAACCTCAGCGGTGCACCCCCAAAGGTTATCTTTGAATATCCCACAGGCTCTTTGGTCCGTCTGCCAGCAGACTTTTGCTAATTCCTGCCCTTAGCTCAAGCACTGCTTCCTCAGAGAAACCTTGAGTCCCCAGACAAGGGGATGCTTCTGTATCTCTCTGCTTAATGCCATACCTTCCCAGAGACCCAGGGACGACCACAGCTTTCAAGGACAGTTTCCAGTGATAGTTTCAATACCTCCATGGTTGTAACTTCAGTGAGACCAAAGATTGGATGTTTTTCTTTCTTTTTTTCCCCTACTGTTAAAGGGCAGAAGGGCCTTTGCTTTAGTCAGCCATAGCTGTTCTGCCCAACTGGTGGCCTCTCTGACCTCCTTTCCTTCCTTTCCCTTTCCCCTCCCAGTCACCTGAAGATGGCTACGACCTAACTATGAGACTGTCTCTCTGCAGGTGCAACCTGCCCCCCATTTCAGGGGAGTACGCCACAGATGTGGGGGAGAAGACAGATGTAGTCACCGTGAACCCCAGCATCATCATTGACAGGTCAGTGGTCCTCTTTCTAGACCTGCGCTCCTTGTTAGTGGCCACCAGTCACTTACAACCACTGGGCACTGGGAACATGGCCCTGACTGAGATGGGCCAACTGTCTACATGAAGCACTCATCAGGTGTCAAAAATTTTATACGCAAAGAGACTTAATACATCTCATTGATTTTTACATTAATCACATGCTAAAATGATAGTATTTTTATATTTCGTTAAGTAAAATATGAACATTATTTTTAATAACTTCCCTCATTTCTGGCTAATTCATTACATGAGGTCTGCATCATGTTTCTTTGGGCAGTGTAAGTCTGAGCAGTTGTTACTAGAGGTAGAAAGCGGCCTTTCAGGTGGGCTGAGGACAGGCCCTGTCCATGTCCTGGTATGAGTTTTGATCATGCAAAGATCTCAGATCTCACTTGACTGCCCTCTGTGGGCCTGCCTGTGTGGTCTGCAGGAGCTAGTGTGTTGAAACCTCAATGTTGCACATCCTCAGCCTGGCTGGAGCGTGAGTAAGAGGGACAGGAGAAGGGGGGGGAGTCACCAAACTACATCAGATGCCAATAGCCAGGAGCCTTCGGAGAGCAGAGAGATCCGCAGAGGGACAGATGGTCACTGGAAAGGGTGTGTAGGCAGAAGCCAAGATACCAAGGAGAGGCCTAGCCAAGCCAGAAGGCTGGGTCAGATGGTCACTCCCAGTCTTAGGGCAGACAGCAGGGAAGTAGTGTGAGGCTCCACTTGGAGGCACAGCCTCTGTGCCTTCCTTGTCTGCCCTGATCCTCTGACTTGAGCTCGGCTGACTCCCCGGATCTCCACACTAGTGGCTCAGCCCACATTGCCTCTTCTGTGCCCATTTATCAGAAAATACCATCTTCAAGAGCCATCTGATGGCTCAGGGGGTCAAAGGCTCTTCTTGTTTATGTGGACAACCTGAGTTCAAACTCCAGGACCTGTAGTGAGTCTTTCTCTGTCCTGCCAGCCAGCTCCTAAATCACAACATGGAGACTTATTATTAATTACAAAAGCTCAGTTGATAGCTTAGGCTTGTTTTTAGCTCTTATAACTCAAATTAATCCATTTGTATTAATCTGTGTGCTGTCCCAAAGCTCATGATTTGTGACCTCATCTCTAACATGTCATGCTTCCTTTGTACCTCCTCATGACTACCCTTCCTCTTCCCAGCCTCCTCTCTGCCTGGAAATCCTGCCTAGTTGTTGGTCATTTAGCTTTTTATTAAACCAATAGGAGTGACACTTCTTCACAGTGTACAAAAAGATTATTCTACAACATTTTTCCTTTTTGTTTAAATAAAAAGGAAAGATTTTAACTCTAACATAGTAAAACTATATACAATAAGAACAATTATCAGGTATTGTCTAAACGGAAAGGAAAGGTATTAACCTTAACAAATGAAACTATATACAATAAGAACATTTATCAAGTAAGAATTATATTTACAATGCCTAGTTCATTTATATTTGGAAAATCTAGAGAAAACACTCCATTATCTATCCTCTCTTGATGAGTCCAAAGTTTTGTACCTAATTTATCTTCTCTTATATCATAACTAAAGGAAACTATAACTATAACTATCTAGTCTTCAATTCCATCAAAGACCCAGAAGGATATAATATTACTTGAGTGAACAGGACTTATAATGCAAACCACTTCCAAAAAGACAGAGGTATCTCTCTGCCTTGAACAGTCACACCAGGTTCTTCTGTAACACGGGGCGTCCATCTTCAATCTACGGACCTAGAATATCTGACAGACTTTTCTGTAAATCAGGAATTTTGAAGGACTGACCTAACTTGTCTTGGAAAAGTTCAGCCAGCATTGCCTTTTTTTGTGTCCTGTTTGTCTAGGTTGGATTGACTGTCAGCAGTCAATGCCAGGGCAGTTTCTTGCCCGGGTGGCTAGCTTTCGCCACAAAGAAAGTAAACTCCAATCCAAGGTTCTTCAATGCTCATTATCCTTTTCTGAAGGAGATTGGTGCTGTCAGGAGCAGATGTGTCTCACAGTCATAAAAAGTCTTAAGTTATTAAAACATCTTGAATATTTGTATCCTTTTAGGTCTTTGAAGCATTTGAAAACAATCTATCTATTTAAAACATATCTGTTTAACTTTGAAAATATACTAATATATACAATAATAAGTTTGATTATTATAGATGACTAACTACTAACTTGTATTTTTAAAATTATAAATTACATTTTAAAACAAGCTGCAAAAACACAATATCCCAAATGAGAGTAGAAAATACATTCAGTATAACAAAAATAACTTTAAATTTTTATCAATATACCAAAACCCATACCAATGTAAAATATTTGAGGTTAATAGTTGCCTTTTTTATTCTATATTTCTATATCCCTCCCAAACAATGACACACATCCATAACCAACCCACCTCTTGGGAATATGGATGTTGTGTTCTCTAGACTGCTTCCTGTTGTCTGGGGATGAAGGCATCTTTAGGGAACCTGAGAAAATTGAGATAATGGTCAAGTCCTGGGAAGATTAGTTATAACATTTGTTGTCCAGTCTCTGTGCAATGAGAAAGCACAAGGCTTATCTGAAGTCCTGGCTAGGAGAGTCTGTGAGACTGGACCATCTCAGCCAGCAGCCTTGAAGCTGAGGATTCTGAGGAATCTATAACAGAGGCACTCTGAAAGGCTGAATTGTCTGGGTCACCTGTTTTCAGTGCTGTCTGGTCCCCTTGTTCTGAAAACACAAACTTTCAAAGGTAACATACACATCTGTATTAACACAACTAGGGACTGTGTATTGTACACAAGCCAGCCAAAGATTTTTTTTTGTTTTATGTTTGAGCTGGTAAAATATATGTGACCTGTCTTATAGTTTTTCTAGGTTTATTTCTTTATGTTTGTGGCCAGGATTTTAGGGAATCTTCCTTGATCAAACCCAATCTCTATCAACCTTGAAGGAATCCACAGCCTTCCCTAATGTAACATATTTTGTAACTTACATTTTGAAGTTAGGACATTTTAAAACTATATAGATTGGTTTAATTTAATAGTTTTTATAATCCAATGTCTCTCAGCAGCTATTGTTTGCACATCAGCAATCAAGAAATTTAAAGTCAATACAACACTATACAGGATCCAGACTCACTGTGTATCTTCCATTTTTATATGGGTCTCCTTTTTATATTATTTTTTCTTCAAAGATTTTATCTTATTATTTATAAATTACTTTCTTCTATGACTATATATACCCATTTTCTTTTATTTTTTTTAAGACTAAAACCATTTTTTTAAAAACACACTGTAACTTGTTTGGAGGTTTTGCCCTGTCTGAATCTACCTTACTGTGTATCTGTAACCTTTTTTGTCTACATGAGCTAAACTTAAACCACCACACAGCTCAGCTCATGGTGCGCTGGTGGCAGCGGCCAGGAGATGCTTCTCTTTACCATGGCCTGCACGAGAGACTGCAGGACCAGGAAGCTGTGTTTGGCTCTGCTTTTGTGTGTTTGGAACATTTTTAAAGATTTCTCAGGCCTTGTGTGGAATATGTACCTTATGCTGGGTGGTGTTTGTAGCAAGTCTTTCTCTGTCCTGACAGCCAGCTCCCAAATTACAACATGGAGACTTACTATGAATTGTGAAAGCTCAGCTGGTAGCTTAGACTTGTTTTTAGCTAGCTCTTATAACTTAAATTAACCCATTTGTATTAATCTGTGTGCTGCCCTGAGGCTTGTGGCTTGTTACCTCATCTCCAATATGTCATACGTCCTCCACATGTCCTTGTGACTTTGCCCTTCTTCTTCCCAGCATCCTCTGTGCCTACAAATCCTGCCTAACTATTGGCCATTCAGTTTTTTATTAAACCAATCAGAGTGATACTACTTCACAGTGTACAAAAAGATTATTCCACAATAAGGACCCACATGATGTAAGGAGAGAGCTAATTTTGTCAGGCTATCCTGACTTCCACACGAGTGCTCTATGGCATGTGCCTCCTCCATGAATAAACAAACAAACAAACAAATAATAAATATGTAAAGGTAGGAAACGAAGCAGAGGAGGGGATGCTAGGCAGCTCTATGAGCCCGGATGGGAGGGGTGAAACGTGGGAGATGAGGGGTGGGGAAGGGGTGCTAGGGTGAGAGGGTGGGGTAGGTTGGGGCTGGAGCAGGGGATGAGGCGGGGAGGGTGGGCTTGCGCAGAGCTTATGGCTCCTCACTCTGCCACCCTGTAGGTTCCACAAGCTGGAGAAGTGGCGGAGGCCCTTCTTCAGGGTGCTGCAGATGTACAAGAATGCCTCGGTGCTGCTGCCCGCCTTCTACACCATACGCAACACCCTCGTGTCCTTCCGTGTTAAGTACCTGCTGGATGACTTCGGGTCCCCGCAGCAGGTCTACTTCTTCCACCCGCTCTACCTGCTAAGCGTGTCGCGCTATTGGCTCAACCTGGGCGTGCGCGCAAAGCGCATTAGCAGCGGCCTCATCCTAGTCACGGCGGCTCTGGAGCTCTGTGAGGAGGTGCACCTGTTCGGCTTCTGGGCCTTCCCCATGAACCCCTCGGGCTTTCACATCATGCACCACTACTACGACAACGTCAAGCCCAAACCCGGCTTCCACGCCATGCCCTCTGAGATCTTTGCCTTCCTACACCTGCACAGCCGGGGCATCCTCCAAGTACACACAGGCACCTGCAATTATGGCTGACAGACAGGCCCACCACGGGTGTCTCAGCTCCCATCCGCCTCTCTTCAGGCTTCTCTGGCCCTGCCATTGTTGTTCCCTAAGGATTTAGGGTTTGTCTTTGGGTCCTGGGGAGGGAGTCAGGGACAGAACCCATGCAACGTCAGCTCTGTCCTGAGCCTCCATCCTGAGCCTCCATCTAGCTCCCGGGCCACTCTCCAAGGTCGGGGCCTCATAAGCACACATCCACTCAGTTTCAGCTTCCCAGAGAACACATTTGTGGCCTGCTTGCAGCTAAGTCAGGCCCTGCTGAGAATAGACTGGCGGGCGAGCCATCCCCTTAACAGGAGAGAGCACAGTCTAGGTCTCGTTTGGACATTTGGCTGCCCAAGTTTCATACCAGGGACTCAGCCATGAATCACCATCTAGAATCTCAGGGCTCAGAGGCTAGCCCTTCTAGGGAACAAACAGTGGCCAAGCGTCCTGGTCTACCTGGCTGGACTCCAAAGGCTTCAGGGATAGCTCATCAAAGCCTGTGTTAGCATCACCCCAAGACTCCAGTAGCTGAGAGCCATCCCCCTCTTAAAAATACCCCTTGGACACACACAGCCTCGGTGCCTCTAGGTTCCAGCATTTAACCTTTGACAAGAAGGAAATAAACCAGACCAGCCATTTGCACTAAGATCTCCAAGCCAATGTTATCGACTCAATAAGTGCTTAGCAATTTGCTTCCTGTTCTGTCTCCCTATTTTCAGCTCCATTTTAATCAGGAGTTATTTATAAAGATCTGTTCCTCTCTATGTCCCCAAATACTGCAGAATCTTGTTAAACTGTGTTCCTGAATAGGAAAGCGTCAGCTGGAAAGCTCCTTGTCACGTGAGCCTGGTGGATGGCAGCTAGCTGGGACTTTGACATCAATGTCCCTGCTGTTTCTGTTCTTCGGACACAGGGATTCACCCGGCCCGGGGTTAGGGGACCCAGCTGTTCCTAGGCTGAGAGGTTCACATGTCATCCGTATCTGGAACTCCTTCCAGTTGCTTCCTCCTATGTGTTTCCATCCCATGGTCTCTGCTGGTGGATTATTGCCTTGTGGAATTGTGGGTTGTGTCGGGAAGACTTTAGCCTGAATGCCCTCCTTCTGTCTTTTTTCCTCTCCCTCCTCTCGCTGTCCCTTCCTTCCTTTCTTCCCTCCTTTAGATATTTCTAGAGAAGCCTGTTCTGATCTGGTCCGTGTTTGGGTTGGGGATGATGCCCTGATGGAGGTGTCAGCTCTGTCTTCTGCAGAGGAGCAGACAGATCACATCGACACTTCAGCCCGGCATGCCACTCAGAGGACCAGCTATGAGAAAATCACACACAGTCCCTCCACCCGACCTCACCTTGTAGGTGCCAGAACAGCCCCCGTTGGGGATCAAGCTGGCCCTGAGGCTTCTGGCCCACTTGAGCTCCCTCCTCTGATTATTTTCTGAGCCTTCTTTCTCTGGACTCTGGCCTGTAGGTGCCTGGAACTTGTTCCACAACTGGTTTCAACTGACTGTGAGGCCCCCAGGAGGACCCGAACCTTAGTCTACAAGGATGGAAGGTCCCGGAGGAGCTGCAGAAACACACAGGGCAACACACATGGATAAACCAGATAAATCACACAAGGACAGGCGTGCTCATGGCTCTCTGGGCTCTGGCTGTTTCTGCCAAGGAGCAAGTTCTAAGAATGATCTAAGTTAACCAAGTCCACAGCTAACTGAATCCAGTTGTTAAAACCATGGGGTGTCAGAATTAGAAGGTTTCATATAGACAGGTTTGTCCCACTAGTAAAGAAGTGACATCGGCGGTCAGACTGTCTGCCAGGCACTAAGCCCTCTATCTGGCAACAGCCTGGCCAGACATCAGGGTCTCCCTTGCTGAGGTTGCTCAGAACCTGACCCAGCCGGTCCACCATAGGAGGTGGAGATGGCTCATGCAGATCTCCCCATGCCCGGGCATGAGGGGCTAGGGCATCCTTCTGGCGTATGGTGGTCCTTCAGCCTCTGACTTACAAGGCAGATCCCTCCTGTCCCTCAGGGTGTCAGTTTCCTTATCTCTTCAATTAGAGGCTGAGAAAGGACTTGTGGGGTCTCTCCAGTGACTGCTGGGGGGCATCCAGGATGTGTGGATCTAAGTAAGTGGTCCTTACTATGAAAGCTGCTGGGTCATCACGCCCTCCTGGGTAGCCCCGCACCGGCCGTTTTCCCTGTCACAGTATCCCACCATCACTCCAAGACTCCTTCAGGTAAAGAGGCTATTGTGGTACAGGTGAAGGGCTGAGACTTAGTGGCTCGGGCACTTGCTCATGGCCAGGTCTCCAGGGGAGGGTGGAAGGGCTCTGCAGAGCTCTACAGACTGCACTCCAAACCAGGGCTGCTTGCAAGAGCCTCTTTCCAGCCCTGACCTCTGTAACAGTCTTTATGCCTGGAGGAGAACTAAGGCTAGCTCTACATTTTGGAGCAAGGACAGATGCCTGGAAAGGGGCGATGTTAAATAACAACACGAGTTTTATTTTATTTTATTATTTATTTAACTTGCCCCAGGGCACATGGCAAGTTAGAGGCTCCCCTGAGCCTCACCTAGTCCCCTGACTTCCAGGCTACATGCTTTCTGCCTCAGTCAGTGTGTGTAACATTTATCAAAGGTCCAGAGAGACCTCTCTGCCCCATCCTGTCCCACAATGCAGACCACCAGTTAAATTCTGATTTAAGGTCATCAGTTCCCCACGAACCAAGTAGCTGTTCAGCTGTTGTGTCTTCCTCTGTGCTAAATGCAGTTCCGGGCTTGAAAGATAGCGAGGCAGCACCACCACCACCACCACCAGCAGCAGCAGCAGCAGCAGTAACAGCAACACCAGCAGCAAGTCGGTGACTCAGTGCTTAAGCAGGCAGAAGGGAGGAGGCTCAAGGTCAGGCTGGCTCCTGGTACCTTCTTATACTGCTGTGACAACATCTCTGCCCAGACTCAGAGAGGCATAAACAACACTAGATGTCGCTGAGTCTAGGAAGGAAGCAGAGGCTGCAGGGCTTCCTATTGACTTCAGCCAGGTATTACTGTATGCTCATTGGGCCAGGGGATATGCCATGGTTGCAGAAGCCCTTCTGGCACTCATCGTCATGTGGGTGCACTGATGCTAAAAGAAACCCTTCTTAAACACAGGAGCTCAATGTGTAGATGACTCTCAGGGCCAGGTTCCCAGTTATCAGGGAGAGGAGAAGGGGAAGGAAGAGGAAGGACAGAAAGGTCAAACCTGAATCCTGAAGGTTAGCAGCAAGCCTTTGCCAAAGAAGGCGCTGTGCCTTTGGTCTCATCCTTGACAGCCATGCAATATTTGACAAGGTTGCCTCAAGGTCCTCATGCTCTTTCCTGCTCTGTTTCTTCCTGGTACAGCCCAGCCTCGCAACGTCTCTCTGCATGTTCCCCATCCCTCATCCTCTGCGACACCTGGGGCTTTCTCAACAGCAGCACTCCCGCTGCAACTGTATCTCCCGAGAGCCACCAATCCTTGCTGTCCTCACCCGCAGGTCAGCCCTCCCCAGGAGCACCAGAAGCATGTCCGCTGGGGCCTTCCGAGCATCCGCCTCTGCAGGGCATCTCGGACCTCAGCCTGTCTGTCCTCCACTGACACAGGTAGAAGAGTCTGGACTCAGAGACTCTTCCATTGTTTAGTAGATCTGTGACCTTGGGGAGTCCCTGAAGCCCCTGGAGGCTCTGATCCCACATCTAAAACAGACAAGAACCTCAGGCTATGTCTCCAGGAGTGAGTGACACAGTGTTGCACAATGCTTGGCACAGTCACCAGTGCAGACACTGGGCAAGCGCAGGATCTCTCTGCCCGGACATCCTCCTTCTCCATACTGCTTATTGGTTCTCAGTTCCAGCACAAATATCCCTGGTGTTCATTCCCTCCCTGTACTTGCTTTTGCCACTGCTATAATTTGGGCTCTTTTGAGGGATCCTCATTTATTCTAAGAATTAGCATCTCAAAATACCTTCTGTGAGACCCATTGCTGCTGGAACCACATAGTCCAAGTTTTTGTTTTGTTTGTTTTCAGCCAAACCATACAGGCCATGCCACAAGCAGGCTCTCTCTCTCTCTAGAGACCCTCCTGCCTCTGTGGCCTCCCTTCTTCTGTTAGTTCTGTGCTTTTTGTGCAAGAGGTTCAGATGATTGGAATGGTCCCATTCCTCTGCCCCTCCTCCCTCTCCTTATCTGGTCACTTCTGTAAATTATATCAGGTTATGACTCCAACTACATCCCCTCTGTGGAGTGGGTCACACACTCTCCCTTCTGTGTGTCTGTGGCAACCAGCATGGGGATCTCCATTAGTATACCCTCAGAATACACAGTTAAGTGTTCCTAGACTCTTAGTGGATGGTTTGTCTTTTCTCTGGGGGAAGGCTTGGAGCCCCTGGCACTGACACAAAGCCACACAGGAGTGTTCAGAACATCCATGACTGGTGCCTGTAATCCTGGGACCCACAATTGCAGCATTCGGGAATCAGAGGCAGGATGACCAGGAGTCTAAGTCTAGTCTGAGCTGCATAGCAAGTTCAAAGCCAGCCTGGGATGTAGGGACCCTGTCTTAAATTTTAAAAATGAATAGCCACAGCCATCACTTAACTTGACTACAACATCCAGAAATCAGTGACTGCCTCCTCCTAGCCAGGAGATGGTTCATGAGGCCATGCAACAATTTTGGGGTAGGCGTTCTGTCTCCTCTGCAAACCGTGGCTCTCAAACCTTGTGCACATTCGGATTTCCTGGAGCTTTGTAGTAAGTGGTCCTGCTGTCGTGCCCTTGTCTTCCAGAGGCAAGCACAGTAGACTTGAGGACGTTTCCCAGGGTCCCCTGAAGACATTCACGTGGTTCCCAGTGTAGTGGTTGAGCGCCATCATGCTGGTGCAAGGCAGTGATCTTGATCCTGTCTGTCTAACAGGGGTCTTCTGAAGAGATTTCTGAAATTCCTGGGCCCTACTCCATGATATTTCTATGTGGTGTGTTTTTCTGGGATGGGACCTGGGCTCCTAGGGTTTCAAGCTCTTTTGGTATCCTGGGACATGCTGAAGGTGACCTAGGGACTCCACTTGGGGAACCACTGTCCAGGATGGTCCTTTGGTCTGTGGCTCTGATCTGTTGTATTTTTTTTTTGTCTCTGGTGGATGGATTGTTCTTTGAAACATCTGATTCAGGTGTGAGACTTTTTTAAAGTACCATCAGCACTTCCTCATCTGCATATTTTGAACATTGGAAGAAAAATAAACATCCTGAAATATTTTTCAAGGCAAAGCAAAAGAGACTTCTTGGATTTAGACTTAGTGTATTTTAATTACAAACTCATCACATTTAGGACTGGAGTGTATTTTGTAATCAGAACTAGGGACTAGTAATTCTGGAGCTTGGGATCTGGGTAAAGTTACTCTGTGTTTGGTGCTAGGGTGGAACCCAAAAATTGCACCACACCCTCTAGCACAGGGAGGCCCTACTTGTCCACCTGGGTGGAGGGCTGGTCTTCTGATCCAGCTCCATACTTCTTGCCCCTGCAAAAGCATGAAAGATGGCACCCAGAAGTCATGCCTCAGCAACGAAGGCTATGGCACCTCTCTTTCTTAGACTCATGCTTTCTCCTGCATTTGGAAAAGGCCTAAGTTGGAACCAGTTAGTTAAAACTCAGATATGTCTCAACTTCTCATTGTAACTGGAGACAGGCCCTGCTGTTCCCTCTAAAGGTGTTCCCATGGCAACTAGGAAACCCACGCCCAGCCGCAAAGTTCACAAAGCCCCGAAGACCCCAAAAGCTCACCAAGGAAGAGAACGCTTGTTGTTTCATTGAAACTCACTTTTACTTGCTCTGACCACTTTCTAGAATGGTCCTTCGGCCCCTGATAGCCAAGGACTGGGGTGATGGATGGAGAATGAATTTTGAGCCACAGAAATAGATGCTGTAAACCATGCCTCAAAGGCCATTTTGCAAAAGGCAAACCACTCATGGTGTTTAATCTTATATTCAGCTCTAGTGAGCGTGGGTCTGGTTTCTAATAGATGAAGGGCAGTAGCAGGTTTTGGGTAAAGCAAGAAGTGGCAGCTCACAGTCTGCCAGCAAACACCAAATCTGCAAGGCTCAGAAGTCATCAGGTGGTATGAAGCCTCTTGGTGAAGGGGTAATTATATGTGTTGTAATAAGCCCAAGGGAAAGACAGCTTCGGGTCCCTCCATTCTGGACACCCAGAAACAGAGACATGAAAACATCCCAACACTGTCAGTCTACTGCCTTTAATAAGGCAAAAAGGCATCATACTTTAGGCTTTTTTCATCCTCAGAGATTCCATACAAGAAGGTCTAAGTAGAAGTCTTAGTGCTTAAGACATCACTCCTAGGTCTCTTGACTGTCGTGTGTGTGTGTGTGTGTGTGTGTGTGTGTGTGTGTGTGTGTGTGTGAGAGAGAGAGAGAGAGAGAGAGAGAGAGACAGAGAGAGAGAGAGAGAGAGAGAGAGAGAGAGAGAGAGAACAGGTTCCTTTCATATCTAGCCTCAAAGAGCCCTTGCCCCGCCATTGTGAACTGGCCAGCACATCCTCTTTCTGGTGCATCTGCTCTGCTTGTGCTCCTTGTCATACAGCCGGCGGTGCATCACCTGGAACCCAGCTGGGTGACTTAGGCCCTTGTTGGTTTCCCTTTTTCCCCCGTCTTTCTCTTGTGAAAGAGACGGAACCTAGGACCTCATGCATGCTAGGTAAACATTCTCCCACTAAGCTACACCCTGGACACTGGGTTAGTTTCTGGACTTAGGCATAAGACTGTTCTTCTCTATGGCTTAACCTTTTTGCTTTCTAAATACGTCTGCTGTCTATTGCTTGTTGACCTTGACTATACCTTGAGAAGACACTAGGACAAGCCCCAGGTCATTGGTGATGGAACATTCCTATTGGATACCTATGTGTAAATGGAGATTGTGTTAATGTTTTCCAGCCACCCAGACCCAAATAATCACACAAAACTATATCAATTACAACACTGCTTGGCCTATTAGGTAAGGCTTCTTATTAAACAACTCTTACATCTTAAATTAATCCACTTATATTAATCTATGTATCATCACAAAGCTGTGGCCAATTGGTAAGGTTCCAGTGTCTTTCTCCTTCATCAGCTACATGGTGTCTCCCTGACTCTACCTTCTTTCTCCCTGCATTCGGTTTAGTTTTCCCACCTACCTATGTTCTTCCCTGCCATAGGCCAAAGCAGCTTCTTTATTAACCAATGGTAATAAAATATATTCACAGCATATAGAGGGGAACCTCACATCACCTGTGTTCTCCCAAGGTAAGAGGTGCTGGGGAAGGAGGAGGTGACAAGAGGCCTTTTTAAAAGTCCTTATGGTGTTCTTCTGTTTGCTGAGTGGAATTCTAATGACCTGGTGTCTGACCCAGGCCTGGCCTTTACCCTTGCCCAGCATCTGTGTAGAAGCTGCTGTGGTGTTTATTCCAGTGTGAAGATCACGTCCAGTACACCAGAGCCAGTTCATAGTGGCAAGGGAGGTGTGGTGATGGGGGTGGCCTTTTTCCTGAGGGCCAGAGGACATGGGTGTGGATTTTTATATCTTTATGGACAAGATGGAGTGTAGCCACTCTCTGAGCTCTCAAAGGCTCATCCCAGTGATACACCTCTGCTAGCCAGAGCCCATGTCCTGAAGTTTCCACAACCTCCTCAGACACATTCAGCTGGGAACTAAGTGTCCAAACACACAAACTTGGGGAAATTTTCACATTTAAACCACAAGAATTCACAGAGTTGAGGGGAGGAGAAAGAGGCAGGCAAACCCACCAGACTTGGGCAAAGTGGTCTGGTAGATCGTAGCCACCATTCTAGGGAAGCTGTGAGTACTGTCACTAAATAAGAGGGAAGTATGTTCTCATCTTGAGTTGACTCTGTTTAGGAGTGGGGGTTAAGGGGAAATGCCCCTGTAAGGGTGACTGTTCCCACTTATGGGGCAGTCTGATAACGGGTCATCTGCCTGCATGGTCCACTGTCCCTGAAATCCAAGGAGACCACAGAGTTAGGGCAAGTGATAGGAAATTTCAGGTGCCACTCCAGGGGTCCGGAACAAAATGTTTTAAACATTGTCAGGAACTTCCTTACCATCCTCGATTGATGCCTTCAGTCCTAAAAGGGGATGAGCTGGGCTAGATAGATGGCTATAGACAGGAACTCCTTAGGCGATGAACATGGCTACCCAGAGCTGAGCAGGGATCTGATCCAAAGGAGACAGACATAAGATGAAGGTAGCTCTCACTGTGCTTTCAGTTACCCACTGGGCGCCTGCAGGTCTGAGTGGAGTGGTGATTTAGCAAGAGCAACCTCTAAAACCCTGCTATAAAACCAAACTTACAGCTCTGCTGCTCACTGGGCAAAGTCACACTGTCAAAGTTGGAGGCTGGATCAGAGTCAGAGGTCTCAGAACACTCATAAAATAATAAAAAACGTAACTTCTTTCAACAACTATTTTTTCTTTTTTTAAAATTATTTTTATTGAGCTATATATTTCATCCACTCCCCTCCCTTCCTTCTTCCTCCCTTCTGCCCTCTCCCATGATCCCCACACTCCCAATTTACTCAGGAGATCTTGTCTTTTTCTACTTCCCATATATATTAGATCCATGTATGTCTCTTTTAGGGTCCTTTTTCAACACCAATTTCTTGAGTGCACCTCTAATAGAATTACATAAATATGTACCTGGTATTTGTGCAAGCCACATGGCCAGGGTCTACTTGCCTGGTGAGATGTAGGCATGAAGGCCCTGGGAAAGGATACTTTCCCAGTGAAAACTCCCAAGGGCTCATGTTGGTCATGTTCCTCTGTCTTCAGATTCCTGCTGTGGGGCTATTTCTGCTTTATATGTGTTGACCAGGGGTTGAACATAGTCCTTTCTGTGGTATCAGATGGTCACATCATATCAAGAGCTCCAGAGTGAGAGATAACAAGGGACAGATTGGAAATCACTTCCACATGGGTGGGCAACCTCTTACGCAGACTGTCCAGCCATTGGCTGATCTTCCAACATGGACACTCCTTACCTTTCTCATCCATCCCTTCAAGCTGTTCCTTCTCTAGCTCTCCTCATCTCCCTAGCTCACTATCAACAGGTGAGCACACTTCTCCCATTTCCTCCTTGCAGCTGTTCAAGGCCCGCCTCCTACTGAGCATGAATCACAGATTGCTCGCCACCTTCCACCTTCCAAAGACGAAGACCATTTTCTCTCTCAGATGAACGTGATGACAACTCTTGGCAACAGACATTTAAGTGTTTCGTTGTGACCCTTATAAAATGTTAAACGCTGAAATTGTAGACCCTGAGGATGCTCTCTGAGGGTTGGACCCAAACCTACAGGAATATGGGTCCTAATGGTGAGGGGTTGAGGGTGAGGACTAGGGTTGAGAAATAAAGAAGACAGATATTTAGACTGGGAGGTCTTGCATAAGTTGATGTCTTATGCCAAACAAGCTTATTTTAAAAACTACAATATCTTATTTACTATTTGCAAGGGTAGAATTGACCAAGGTAAGCAGAGAGCTAAATCAGACAATGTTGGCAAGGAAAACATGGGATACATCAGGCACAGCTACCTGGGACTGATAACCACAGCCCTTCAGTGAGGAAAGCTGGGTTCCAAGAAACTGAAATCCTAATTCCTTCGAGGCCCTTGCTCCAGCCCCCAGACTGGAGCCGGCATAGTCTGCTCCTGGACGAGGACGCAGAACTAACGCCCCATTGGTCCTTTCAACAGGGCTTCTGGGAAAGCCTTGGGTTAATCTGTCTCCCAACAAGGGTCTTCCCTGAGACCTAAGCGATATCTTTTAATATACTGGAGGAAGTCATGCTTGCTCTCCTGTAAGAAGAGGGTGTGTTAGCTACCACAACAGCCAACAGAAATGTTTTTAAAAGGGGGATTTATGCTAGCTCACAGTTCCAGAGGCTTTTAGCCCATCATAACAGAAAGTGCACTGAGAGGTGGCCCTGTCAGCATTGTGCATTGAGGAGTAGCCCTGGCCATGGCAAAAGGATCCGGTGGTGGAACCAGATGTTGGATATAAGGTCCACTTCCAGTGATCTACTTCTGCCAGATAGGTCCCACTTCCTAAAGAGCCCATGGGCTACAAAATAGCCCACCAGCTAAAGAACAAATGTTCAAATGGTAATACGGGATTGTCATAAAACTTTTGAATAAACGAATATGTGAATGTTCTAGGGGTGGATGGAGGTGGTCATGCTTCATTTAATTGTTTAATATCATTTATGAAGTGCATGCTGTTTGTTATGTTATTCACTCGGCAAATATTCTCTGAGCACTGGAATGCAAGCGTTTGGAATGCAAGAGGATGCTATCAAGGAGCTTGCAAGAGCCCTGCAAAGCTCCCCCAGGTAGCACCATGGAGAGCTCTCAGAGTCAGCTTTCATAGGAGGTGCCATTCAGCACCTGGCTGCGGAGAGAGCTTAGGACCTGGAGGAAGGGCTGTCTGGCTCCTGTCAGGAACGGGAAAGAACACACTGGTTGGAGGTAAACTTAAGGAGCTGGGCGGAGAAAGACTCTTTGGTGAACAGGTGTGCTGTGTTCACACTGTTGACTAAGATTCTCAGAGTCAGTTGGTCCTTGGCAGAGGAAAAGGACATCCTCAGGTCGCCTCTGGAAAAGCTCAACCTGGTTTCAATGTGGAGCAGCATTGCTGAGGACCAGAGTGCTGTGACATGGCCACGTCCCTTCAGGAGGCTCCTGCTGGTGGCCAGGTCTGTGGGGGTGGGGTGATAGTCAATGGAGCAATGGCACATGGGAAAGAGATGGGACACCTCAAGAAATAAGCGGAATAAGAAAACAAGCCCACAGGGTGTGATGTGTGACTAGGGAAGGCAATTTCAGTGACAGCAATGGCTCCCGAGGGGAGGCACATAAGTCCAAGTCCCTGGCCCTCCCTGAGGATGGCATTGCTTGCTAGAGGAATGAGAGATCTGTGTGGCAAGAAAGCAAGTTGGAGAGTTTCACCCTGGCATCAGGCTGCAAAGGATTCTGCTTCCCTAAGGAGGCACTGGACTATGTATGACATTTCCAGATGGATGGGCAGAAAATCAGGGAAACTACTCTTGGATCCTTAGATAATATAATAGAGATGGCAGAGCTTGTGGAATTGTTTTTCTTTTCTCTTATTTTTTAAAGGCAAAGTCTCACTATTTAACCTTGGCCAGCCTGGAACTTGCTAAGAAGACCAGACTGGCCTCACTCATACTCACAGAGATCTATCTGCTTCTGCCTCCAGGTACTGGTACAATAGGCACACACCACCACACCCAGCATGGGGACAATAGGCATCACCACACCCAGCATGGGGACAATAGGCATCACCACACCC